AACCCTGAGATGTAATCAATACCTTTGTGATTTTGTGCCTATATAATCCTGGAACTGTGACCAAATGGCTGCTATGAGATTTGGGAATGGCCCCTCATAGTCCTGGATTGCAATAAACGTGACTCTTTAATTCACTTCTTGAGGCGTCCTTCTGTGATTCGCGGGGTACATTACAACATTTGGAGGCCCCAGCGAGATGCAGTCCCTTAGGGGTGCTGTTTCGGATGCAAAGTGAGGCAAAACCTTCCCTGAGCCATTCGTGGAGACTGAGGGGTCTCTTGGGGGTGCGCAACCTGAGAAGTTCCAGGGCCCCGGAGAACTCCCTTCGGATCCAGTGAATGGGCAGAGGACGTTTGCCTGTCCCTAAAAATTTTTCATTGTAGTCACCTGAAAATCCTCTAGAGGTAGGTTCTGGGATCGGTCACTGGTGGTGGACTCAAAAGAGGGCTGGATGCAGTGGAAGCTCGGAATCCGACGCCTGACGCGACGGCATCTGGGGGTCCTGTTCCGGGCAATCTTAGGTTGCATTTGTTGGGTTTGTTTTGTCTTTGCTAGCCTTTTTGGTTTTGGATTTTTGTGAGCCTTCTGGTTTTGGATTTAGATTTGTTTGTGAGTCTTTTTGGTTTTATTTGTTAGCCTTTTTGGTTTTGGTTATTGTTTGTGAGTCCAATGTGTTTAGTCTGTCGATTTTATTGTTTCGCTGATGAGTGGATTGCTGATCTAGGTTATCAAGAATCTCTAAGGGACTTGTCCTGAATCTGGAGGAATGGTTTCTAGATGGTATTCACTGTCTCTGGGACTTCCAAAGGGAAGTCAAAACTTGGACTGGCAAAGGGTTCGAGTCTGGCCTGTCTTTTAAAAAAAGGTAGAAAAGAAGCGTTCCTAGGCTTTTTTTCTGCTGCCTCTGTTCAGGGACTTGTTCTGTATCTCTGCACAATTGAACCTGATTTGTTGTTATTTTGTGGTATAAATGTGGCATGTGCCAGTATAAAAGTGTTTTTATGTTTGTTTCTGTTTTGTTTTCTTAAAAACACCTTCTAAACATCTCCTGAGTTTCCATGGTGATTCAGAGTTTTTAATGGGGAATGTATCTAGTTGTGTTTATTTAGTCTTGTTTTCTTTGTTTAGTATGAGTACCGTTTCTATCTGGATGAGACATGGGTTGAGAAGCTGTTATGCCCAGATTTCAAGACCCCGCAAAGATCCACCAGGGAGCACCAAATCTTATGCAAAAGCAGATAGTCTTTTATTCAAGCTCTCTTGCCCCCACTCCCCTGCCTCCTTACTGGATGCAAGAGAGAGCCCCGAGTCCCAAGAGAACAAAGATTATATAGGGCTAGTCATTTGGGTGGGCTTAGGTAAGTGATGTGAGTTACAGAGATTGGTCACTTTGGTCAGGGTTTTTCAGCAGGGTTTTACAGCACAAAGGTCAGGAAGTGACCAACACATTCTGAGGTTTGAGCTGTCCCCCACTATAGCCTTATTAGGACCTTAGCTGCATTCCTGGAGCTTCATTGGTCCACTCAGGTGGTGGCTGGGGGGGTTTGGTTTT